TGTCGTATCACATTTTTTTTTTTGCAGCCGTCGTCGTCGCTGCTCTCTGCTATGTATGCGTGCGTGTGTGTGTGTGTCTGTGTGTGTGCTTGAGTTGCGTGTATGTGCACGCGAATGTGTTGGTTTTATTTTTAGCAGCAGACGCCGCTTGCCAACTTCAAACTTGTTGCAAGTCGTTGGTTGCGTGTTTGACGTACCAAATTGAACTTAACTTTTATATTAAAGGTCTTTGAGATTTATATATGTACATACATACATATGTATGTAGTATAAAATATATCGTTTCTTCTTTGTTTCAATTTTTGTCTGCTTTTGGCTTTGGTCTTTTGAACACTTCCAGGCTAAAAACTCAGCCCCTGCTGCCAACGATTAGTCCAGTCAGGCAGGCACTTCCCAGATATATTCCAATGCATGTTATTTGGTTGGGCCTTTATGGTGCTGATAGCTGCGCTCGCTGCTGCGGCTCGTTTGGGGGTTGCTTCCCAGGGGTCCAACACACACACACACACACACACACACACACACACATACACAGACACGTATGCATGCATGTGTGTGCACTTGCAGTTTTTCTTTTTTTTCGCTGTATTTAAAAAGCAATTTTTTTTGCATTCTGTTTTGGCTGCTGAACATGGAAACGACGGCACCTTGCACATCGGGGCTGTCCATTTGCTAGCTGCATTTTGCACTGGAATGTACGCTACGCCACAATGGAAGGCCAGTTGCATGTTGCACTGCACACACACACACACACACACACACACACACACACACACACACACACACACACACACACACACACACACACACACACACACACACACACGTATATAAATATGTATATGTATAATATATATACAGTAACATGGCGTGGCACATGCACCACAGAGAGACACAACTTGGGGGCCTCTGTCAAAGGCCATGGACCAAATCCCAGGGCCTGGTCTTCCTGTTTGTTGCTGATGATTTGCAAAGTGAATTTTGTGTATTTGACGATTGTTCGACTTGCAGTTGTGCAGTTGTGCAGTTGCAGTTGCAGTTGTTGTTGCTACATGTTGCAAAACTGGTTACTGGAGCCTGCCAACTTGCCAACTTACATTATCTGCCCTCTCTCGCTGGCTCCCTCTCTCCTTTTCTCTCTTAGGGCGGCCCACTATATACACAAGTGTGTGCCTGTGTTAACCCTTTTTGCCATATACATACATATGTACGTAGTGCCACACTTGCCCGCTTTTCACTTCCTTGCCCCAACATACATACGTATGTATGCATGTGTGTATCTTGCAGATACATTTTGCATCATATGCACTCATCTTTTCTACCTGGCTCACTAGTTCCTGCTTTTTAGCCTAACATTTGGCCCCAGTTGCCCCCACTCCAACAAGGAGAAACCCTTAAGCTGCACCCAAATGAATTGCTCTTCGGAAAAGTCCCATAATCCTTGAGGTACACACATGCATACATGCATACATACATGCATACATGCATACATGCATGCATACATGCATACATACATACACATGTATGTAGGTCAACAAACTTATTTGCTTTCTTCTGGATTAGCTCAGTTCGATTATTTTCTAAGTTTTTAATTAATTGCATTACAGGCTTGTTTATTCTAGGCTAGTTGTAAATTTCATGAGGATCGGACTATAAATCCCGAATGTATGTATGCATGCATGTACATATGTATGTATGTGTGTGTATGTCATGGAAACTAGAATGCTTGTTATCGCAGATTCAGGGTATCTGGCAGTCAGGCAGCCCGACTAAAGTACTATTTATGTTTTTTTTTTTCTTTGCCTTTGTCTTTTTGTTGTATTTTGCTGTTGTTGTGCTTTTGCACCTTATGCCAATTTGGCATGTGTGTGCGTGTGTGTGTGTGTGTGGTTAATGTGGCCTGCGTTGCTCAAATCTTGCATCTATATATATATATATACATATATTTATATATATGTATATACTTCTAACATTTGTACGCGCATCGGAATGCCAAACAAGCAATCGGCAGCCCAAACACATTATAATTAGGGAGCCCAGCTCAGCGACTGCATAAAAAGGCTGATACAAGGGGTGCCTTAGCTGAGGGGGGGAGGGTGGGGGGAGTCATCATTATGAACATCAACGTTGTCGTCACCGTCTATTAGCTTAAAATGCATCGGTCCATGGAGGTGGGGCCAGCTATGCAAAAGCTTTTGGGCGAGTGTGCAAGCAAGCGAGTGCTGCGTGTGTGCGTATCTATATATGTATGTGTGTGTGTGTGTGCGTGTGCGTGTGTGTGTGTGTGTGTGTGTGTGTGTGTGTGTGGAGAGCTGTACAGTTTTGCAGTCCATTTTGCTACACTTAAAGTGCGCTTGTTGCTGGCCAATACAGCAGCAACATCTTCGCTGTAGTCGTTAATTTTGCTCTTGTTGTTGTTGTTGTTGTTGTTGCTGTTGTTGTTGTTGCTGTTGTTGTTGTTGCTGTTGTTATTATAGCTGGTGTGTGGTGCGTTTGGTTATAATGCGCGGCGCACACGAGTCGACGGCGCAGTCCCGAGCAACCCAGCGACAGCGACGACGCAACGACAGCAACGACGACGACAACATCAACGTCGGCATCGGCGTCGGCGTCGACGTCGACGTCGACCACTTCATCATCGACAAGCAGCCAGCCCCCCGTTGGAGTCAGTTGGCTAAAACAAAGCACAACTAACAGCAGCAACAGCAGCAACAGCAGCAGCAGCAGCAGCAGCAGCAGCTGTGGTTGCAACAACACCAATAGCAGCGGCAACAAAGGATGACTTGTGCTTGCACAACAAGAAGAAGCATGTGCTTTATATTTTATACACTTCAGGTTACAGCTAACTGGGGGCATCATGACTTTCATATAAGCAATGCGACTAAATCCACACAGTCATATACTAACAGCTAACTAAGGCATTTAAATGAGGCGAAGCAACTAAACAGTGCTTATAATTCGCAACATGTTAAGGCTGCCCTTAAGTTAGAATCGTACGCAATAGAACATGCTTATAATTCGCAACTGGTTAAGGTTCAAGTGAAAACTTGTAGAATATGCCACATAAGAAGTTGGCAGTTGATGAAATAATAATTTCATAAAATCACATACATATTTCTCTAAGTGGAAACTTTAGAATATATAAATCCAAAGCTATGAGAAATCTTGATTCTTGCTTAAAAGTAAATTTAAATAAAACAAAAAATTAACTTTCTAGAAGAAACCGTGTCCACATAAATTAGGTATGCAATTGAACTAATTGAAGCTAAAGTTAAAATTTTTGTATTTCATTTCATTTGCTTTTAAAATTCTATTTTCGCTATTTCTTAGAGAATAAGATTTTGGTCTACGTTTTTTTCAACTAGAAGTTTCATACTAGAACTCGACTATACTAGTAGATACATATTTCATAGACAGACTCTCGGAAGGTTCCAGTGAGAACGCGCTTTTTGTGAGGATGCGAAGTAAAGTTCAGTTTTTTCTTCTTTTTTTTTTTTTGTTTAATTTCAATTATATGACTTACATATGTACATATATTGTCAAGAATTGAGCGCCATTTATGAATATGGGACTTTTTTTTCATAATAAATTGGCTAATAAAACCAAATCGACAAAAACGAAAATAGTGTGTTTTCCAACACTGTCTTTGCAAGTTTACAGTTAAAAACTAGTCTTGGATCGGACTGGCTTGCAAGGAAGTTAAGTAAAGAGCGGACATTAATATCGGTACATTTTGTTCGAGCCAACTTCATAACACTTTGCAGGCAAATCTGAGTAAGCCAAGATTAAATTATTTATAACATGGCTAGATTTTCTATCAAATTATAAATCAATTATGAAGAATTTGTTTAAGACATAAAACTATGTTCTGGCATCGGTAAATTCGGGATTCCGAAAAGGTTCTGTACTACCTCATTGTATTTAAAATCAAGTATTACAAATTCTAGGACTAGGAATCAGAATTGATTTGATTTCTATAGCTGAGCTGCTCAGTTTAATCTGTAAGCCAAGATTTAATTGATTTCTCAACATTATTTCACACATGGTATTTTTTTGGTATTTTTTTTTTTTAAAGAAATTTACGCATGTATATACTTATATTGTATATAGGCTTTTGCAATAGCATTGCGTAAGTAACGGTACTTTCGTATTGTATCCGAAAATTTGGATTAGCTTTTAGCTTTGAATCTCATAATAGAATGCATGCGATTTGTTATTTGCAAATGTGTGCCTCGAATAGTTTTGGCCTGCGCTTGTTGCAACACGCAATAGTTGCCACATTCATTTGCCTGCCTGTGCCTGCTTGTATCCATGTACCTATGTATGTGTGTATGTGTGTATCCGGTTTAGGGTGTATAACGGGAGACAGTGGGGTTGTCTATATAGTTGGGTACAAGTTCTAACCACGATGACGCCGCGACGCGTTGTACGATTGAGTTGCGACCTGGCTGCAACACGCTATGGATAGATGGTGTATTGGTAACGTTTTGTATGTTGTGTGCTAAGGGGGTGTGGAGAGGGAGGCTTACGGGTGGCATATGTTGCTGGCTGGTTGGCTTGGACCTACAACGTAAAATAAAAAATCTGCGCGTCGACGTCTACGCATTGGGAACTTTCAGCTAAGTTGGCAAAAGCGCTGTCGACGCTGACGCTGACGCTGACGTCGCTGCCGCAGCTGCTGCTGTTTCTGGTGCTGGTGCTGCTGCTGCTGCGTGCACTTGTGTATGTGTGTACGCGTTTAAATTGAAAATGCGGCTAGGCGAGAGAGACACCCTGCCTAACCCATCCCACCCCCTCCCCTCCCCCCACACCGTCCCGTATATCATGAAGCTGCCACGCAGCCTGGTGTTTCTGTAGCCTGCCCACGCCCAGTCCAGTTGCTGTTGCTGTTGCTGTTGTTGGCGTTTGCCGTTTTCTTTGCTGCCCGCTGCGTTTGCTGACTTCGACGTCGTCGTTGCTGAATGCAAAGCGACGTCAGGCAGTCGCAGCCGCAGCAACAGCAACATCAGCAGCAGCAGCAGCAGCAGCAGCAGCAGCAGCTGAGCCAGAGGCAGCAACAGCATCATTCAGTTTCAGTCGCAATTCAAACGCCATCAAAATCAAAACGGTAACGAAAAAACAATTTTTTTTTCGTTGTTTTTAAGTTTGTTATTCGCGTTAATTCTGCTCACAACTTGTTGTTGTTGTTGTGTGTTTGTGTGAGTGCTTTTTTTTTTTTTTTAATTTAAATTTGTGTATTGTGCCGTTACAGAGAGTAAGCACAATAGAAACGCCGCAGAGTGCGAGAGCAGAACGAGAGAGAGAGAGATTGCACACGCAAGACGACAGTGCAGTGTATGTGTGGGTGCTTGCTCTGTGTGTGTGTGTGTTTGTGTGTGTCTCCTTTTGTGCATTGCATTTTGTTTAAGCTTTAAACAATTTTATTTGATGAAGTAAAAAACACCGTTGTGTGAGTGCCGAGCGACAGCGAGAGCAAAGTGCGGCGAGAGCAAATGATGAGGTGCGGAAAGAGCACACTAAACGCTCTGTCGAGTAACAGCCGCAGCCCAAAGAGCGAGCGAGAGCAACTGCAAAAACTCAACCGAACAACTGAACAACTGAACAAAACAAAGCAAAAAGCAATGAGCAAAAAAATATTGCCACACTGTGACGTCGTTACGGCAAGCAAGGGATACAAGGTGTAGAATGATTTGGTGGGAGGGAAGTGGTGTGTTTCTGCAGGAGTGTGCGAGTGTGAGTGCGAGTGCGAGTGTGAGTGTGAGTGTGAGTGTGGGCAGTGGGGATGTATGAAACCCACCAACTCGAACTGGAAATAACATTTGTGCAGAACAAGAGAACAAAATGGATGCGCAAAAATGTGGGCCAAATTTTTGTTTGATGCTTTTGAAACCCAATTGCAAAAAAGCTGCTGCTGCTGCTGTTGTTGTTGTTGTTGTTGTTGTTGGTGTTTCAGTTTATTAAATGTGTGTGTGTGTGTGTGTGTCTAGTGTGTGCTGGTCTAACATACATGCTTACCTATATATACATGCCTGCACGAACAAAGCAAATATTTTGGGATTTAATTAACAAACTCAAACATTTTTAGTACATTTAAGTTAAATATCAAAGAGTCTCCTCTCTAAATAGGGAGGAAGCATATCTCGATTTTGTGTACCCTGGGTATCTTATAGTTCGACACTCCCCATTAGAACACTTTAAGCTCTAATAAAATCTGTTTAATTCTTTAGAAAATAAAAAAGAAGAGTTTTTAGAACTTGTTGGAAAGATGTTCCTGTGTATTTAGTTATGCCCATTATCACATTTTCAAGGGTATTCAAAAGCTGTCATTAAATGCGATTATGTATTTTTTTTATTTTAACAAGCTTCGCTTTTAAGCAGACGTCACTTTTGGGGTCTTTTATTTTTTTGCTGCCTCTTTTCTGATTATCTATGTTTTTGTTTCATTTTTTTTATATATATTCGTTTTTCCTATATAGTATATATATATATATATAGTATGCTATGTGTTACTATATACTCGCCGGCGCCAAACAACAAAAAAAAAGCCCCAAAAGTATCTGCACAGTTTTGTGCGTGTGTGTGTGTGTGTGTGTATCTGACGAGTGTATCGTCGCTTTTGTGCCACAAATCACGTATTTGTTTGTTTCTTGCATAAAACCGTAGCAGAGATAACGGTTTTGCGCCTGTTGTTTTTTATAGCTAGGCGAGAATATTGAGCTACCGCCGCCGAGCCCGGAGCATCGATGAGTGTGTGTATCTAATGGATACATACATAAGATACATATAAATTGATACGGAGCTCCGCCAATTGACATCACCAAATACTTGCCGACACAGTGCATTGGCATTGTCAAGCGCTCTGTTGATCTAACTCGTTAAGTTGTTTCTGCCTGTTGCGACTGCTGCTGAAAGCTATCACGATTCGCAGTACAGTGTTCACTGACTATGTGAATCACCTACAATGACTAAATGGTAGAAGGAATTGTAAATGTAAATGATCATGATGATCTCGAGCTTTGCGCATTTTACAACACTAGTGTTATCTTTAAAATCACATTTAAAGTTGCATGCTATGAAAATAAAGCTCACTTGCATATAGCAAAGCTTTAAAGCTTCTTAAAATAATATTATTAAGCTGAACACTAAAAGCTTGTTGCTACGCTAGATTAATCGGTTAAATGTTTGATGAGCCTTTGTGTTCCATTAGATTATTTTCATACCCTTTAAATGTTGCCTGCCAGAGTCCACTCTAGCTGCGCTTCACTGTACGACGGGTATCTCTACCCATCAAACTATCTTAACTACCTACGTAGATGTCAGCATCAGCGACAGCCTCACTGCAGATACTTTTCTTTCTTATTAGAAATAATACGAGGCTTAACAGATACACACACACACACACACACACACACACAGACACACACAGACTCACACAGGCATACAAATGCAAAGAGGTACATGGGTGGGCTGTTGGCTGGCTGAGAATTACGCGAGGGGTGCAGCAGGGGCAGGTGGCACTGGGCGGACAACAACTACAACAAGAAGCTGCTAGCTGCTGCCTTCTGCCTGTCGCACATTTGCACTCACGACGAGTCACAAAATGAGCGAAAAATTATCAAAGAGCCGTTGTATGCACGGGGATGGCACATGGGTGTTGGGTGTTTCGAAGAGGGGAAAGTGGAGTGTGGGGTAACTGTTTGTCCCCTCGCAGCTCGCCCCACTCTTTTGCCCCGTCGGCCCTTCCTTTAGTGAAGGTTCAGTTCAGGCTCTCGGCTTGGTCGACCAGTCCTACCCAATGTTTGTCGCTTTGGTTGGCCCCGCTGGCCCCTTCGCCCCCCTCGTACTTACCTTCATACACACAACCTCCCGCTCACAAAACTCGCAAACACACACACAGAGACACACACACACAGACAGACACGCATACTTACATATATATTATCTCAGATATAAACCGATTGGCGTGTGTATACATAATTTTTTCGCTCTGCGTTTGTTTTTTTTTTTTTTTTCTCCACTGGGTTATTGAAGCTAGAATGTTATGCGAAGCACAGTGTAAGCAGAGCAAGAGAAAGACGGCGAGAGAAATAGAGGGCGGGGAGTAGGGACAGAAGTACAGAGACAGACGTGCACGACATTCTACAAAAGTCATGTATAATAACCGTGTTGAAGCTCGGAGCTCACAAATGATATCTAAATATAGAGAAGTATCGCAGGCGCAAAAATTGGTGACCGTAATGCGAACAAAGATCTGTCGATAGTTATCGATATTGTGCATCAATTGCTGTTAACAATCAAAAGTGTGACCGTAGAGCACAAATTAAATATTGCTCAGACACTACAAATCTATCGCTTGCTTTATACGATTATCCAAGGCAGCTCTTAAAGGCATTGCTGCATTTCCCGTAAGCTTTGAGTGATTGCTGTTATCGATAGATCACAGATATCGATCAATAGATCGCTGATGTCGATCGATAGATCACTGATGTCGTACATTAATTGCCGCAGTATGCGATAATTGATGCCAGCTTCAGCTTTTAAGATTGGCTGCATACTTAATAGGATAGAAAAGTCACTGTGACTATCGAATTATCGATAAGCTATCGATAAAGGCCATTGATTGAGCCTTACTGCAGAAATCCAATTTATTGAATTGTGGATCACATTGCATTATCTCAAGTCATTTTTATTACCGATTAACTATCTTTTCTTGGGCTCTATATCGTTTCGCAAGACGACTTTGAAAACCTTTGCAGCAAGTTAGCCAGATTCAAGATATGCCCACGACGCCTCTGAAGCCTGCTTAAGCTATTTGTACTCTCTTTGTCGATGGCATGTGTTATGCTGCACAAAAGTGGTAGCAACTAGATGAGGCGTTGCTTTTTCTTAGCATTTTTCTTTTTGCCAATTTCGATGCTTACGTCGACATCGCAATCGACTGCCTGGCTGTTACTGTTCTTCTTCTTCTTCTTCATCATCATCATCATCTGCTTGTGCTTGTGCTTCTGCGACTTCCACGGTGGCAAATATGACTTCAACCGGTTCAAAAAAGAAGCATTTACTTTGGCCTGGTCTGGTCTGGCCTGCCTGCCTGCCTGCCTGCCTGACTCTCCTCTTGTTTGTATATGTTTAGATACAGATACATTATGTACAAAAGGCGAGCATGCCAAGTGCCTTTGTAGTTGTTGTTGTTGTTGTTGCGGCTACAGATACGGCAACGTTGACGACAACGGCTTCACATGCCAACAAATATACATATGCATATATATATATGTATATATATGTATATGTATATGTATAAGGCTATTGGGGGTCCGTCTGTACGTCTGCCTCGGAGTGTATGTAGCCTAGCTACAAATTTTCGCAGCTCCTCTTGGCTACAGTTTAACAATTCAATATATGTACATAGACCTATCAAACATTTATACGTAAATATGCTATATATGTACATGCATACATATCATATGTGCATGTACTTGTACTATATATTCTCTATATTATCGCGGGTTCATTTGCACTCTCATCATCATCATCATCATCATCATCATCGTTCGACACTAGGCACAAAAAAGAGCGGAACGCAACAGCTGCACACCGAAGCATGAATACCCTTGCCGATGCTTGTGAAGTTATTTCAGTTCTCATCGATTGTTCATAGCAGTTGAATAATGAGTTATGCTAGGTGCATTGTGAAGCTTCTAGATACTTTAAAAGCTCGCTTCCATGACAAAATTATAATAACTACAAAAGATCAAAAGAAATGGTTTTAATTAGGAATTGTTTATCCCATTCATTTACAATTGTTGTATCTCTTAAGTTCTTGAATCTTTGTTTCAAGTATTCGCAAATCGGATTCACTCAGCTCTTATCATCTCTAAGATCCCAAAGTTGACGCTAATCAAATTATCTGATACATCAGGGTACATAGATAGATTACTTAAGTAATTGTTGCCGTTTAGTAAACCCTCTATTTACTAATAATTAACGTAATAAGTGGGCCCATTCATTAGTTAAGTCATTGATTTGCATTTACATATTGCTGTTTTTTTTATTTTATATATTTTTAATCACTTAATTAGACCCTCTCGATAGGCTTGTTACTTTGCACTTCTGTCGGCAAGGCGCAGGTTAAAAGTCGTTTTTTAATGCTGATAATACAAAGTGAAATTGTCTGTTGACAATACAAAGTACGACATATGCTCATATAGAAGCATGTTCAGCTAGATAATACTATTATTGTTTCATTAGTATTATTCATTACTTGTTTTACTTGGCAATAGCTTTCATTGGCGTCAGTCAAAATTGTATTAGCGCGGACTTAGGCCAGATATTAGAGGATCTCTTTGAGCTTATCTTATGAAACTTGCTGAACATATATGTACATAGCTAAGGAGAGTGCTTGCAAGAGTGCAACTGTCCTCTACAGAAAAGAGTGTTTTTTTCCAAGCTCGACACGTTTCTTTTTCTTCAGGTAACAATTTCAATTGTTTCACTAATTGTTCATTTGTTGAACTTGAACTCTTTTTTTATTCCTTCATTTATGTGAATGTATCAAATTTCAGATGAGTAAATAGCTTTATTAATGTACCCCCATACAGTTAGCACGAAATACAATCGAGCATTTACAGATGATTCTGGAACGTTTACCTGAGCTGTGTTAGGGTTGATTGTCTCATGATTGAGTCAAAGGCAAAGCTGATCACGTAATGATTCAGCAAATATGCGACTTCAATGGAGCAAAATCGCTTTAAAGCTGACCCCAAGATTTTGTACTGTGAAATTGTTGCATTGTCTTGTTTATTTAAATATATATCTAATTCACATGCATTGTGCATTTTAATGCAATATATTGTGCATTATGCATTCCCAACTACTTTCAATTAAATACATACATGCATGTATGTATGTATACGAGGCTGGAGAAACCCTTTCTATATTATTTTCATTGAAAATGTTGTTAGCTGTAAATTTGACTAAAAATTCTCAATCACGCCCACAGTGCGTTTGGCTGGGTAATTTCTGGTTGCAATTTGCGCTTCACTTATTTCCGCTTTCTCAACGACAATAAGAACAGTTAGACTATTTTTGTTATTGCGTTGTTATTGTTGTACCTCTGTTCTCTCTTCCTCTTTATCTTGCGTGTGTGTGTGTGTGTGTGCACATACAGGGTCAACTCGAGACAATGACAATGTGGTGTATAACAGCAGCAATATCAGAAACAAATCCAAAATCAAACGCAATAGCAAATGCATATGCAAAGGCAAAAGCAAACACAAAGGCAAAGGCAAAGTCAGAGGCAACAAAGGGAAGGCAGAATAGCAACATTAAACATACACCGGCAACAACAACGCGTGTCTTTGCGCCCTATGTGCTCTCTCTCGCGCCGCCTCTCTCTCGCTCTCTCTCTCTCTCTCTCCGTCTCTCTCCGTCTCGCTGTCCTACTCTCTTGCACGCTGTGTGCGTGTGTGCATGCATGTTGTTGGCTGTTAACGGCGTCGCTGCCAGCTGCTGTTGCTGCTGCCGCTGGCGCGCAGCCATTGTCGACGTCGTCGTCGCCTCGTCATCAACATTTGCGAGGCGACACATTTGTCGTCGGTTGCTTTCAGTCAAAATAAGAAACACAATAACAACAACTCGCGATTTTTGTTACTGTCAATTTAATTTATATAAGTATATGCACGTATATGCCACATAGGTGTATGTATGTATATGTATATGTAAATAAATTCATTTGTTTATTGTTTTTTTTTTTTTATATATATTTTTTTCCAATAACATTTTATTTGCTGTGTGCCTAAGCAATGTTTTTTTTGTCGTTATTTTTTTCTGTGCATGTGTGAGTGTAGAAACAAAAACAACAAAAGCAATTTAAGGGCGCTTCACCACAGCCCAAACGGCACATACACACGCATTGTGTGTGTGTGCGTGTGTGTTGTGTAGCTGCTCGCGTGTGTGTGTGTGTGTGTCTGTGTGATTGTGTGCGAGAGATCAACAAATTATAACAGAGCCCATCAGCTGCAGCTGCTCAGCGTCGCAGTGGCAGTCGCAGTCGCGGTCAGCGTCGCGGTTAACGTCGTCGTTGTCGTCGCCGTCGCCGTCGCCGTCGTCGCCGTCGTCGTCGTGGTTCGGTCATTGATATAAAATTTTTACCTTGAGCTCATTTCAAGTCTTAGCAAACCAAGCTTAAAAGCATAAAAATCTTGTACTCATTGCATAAAAAGAATTAAACAAAAAAAAAAAATAAAAATAAAAAAAAGAACTCTAAACAAAAAAAAAAAAAAAACGCTTGCAATTAATATAACAACAACAGCAGCAACAACAAAAAGTGCGTGCAATACAAATATTGCGAAAGAAAAAAAAAAAAAAATTGCAACGCCAGAAAATAACAACAAAGCGCAAGCGAGAGCGAATCTGTGTGCAAAGAGACAAGAACAAAAAGTTATTTGTGTATTTATTGTTGGCCGCAATGTAAATGCGTTAACATGCGTGCGCTTGTGTGTGTTTCATAATCTTCGAAACAAAAGCATTTACAAATAAAAATACAACAAGAAGAAGAAGAAAAAGAATAAATAAAATAATATGAATTTTTTTCTGTGCAGTGTTTTATTATAGTTTCATAACAAACAAGAAAATTGTTCGCCAAGGCGTTTAACAAAAATAAAGTTTACACCTACTTAAGTACATACATAGATACATCAATACATACATACAACATATACATATATATAAATATATATATATATATATATATGTGTATATATAGCGCTCACAAATACATACGCATGTACCTACAAATACAGACGCCTATGTATGTATATATAATATACATGTGCAATGCAAAATTGGCAATTGCAAGCGCAAAGCTATCAACATTACCAGCATCAGCAATCACTTCATCATCAGCAACAACCGCAACTCCAACACCAACACCATCACCTGCAACAACAGCAACAGCAGCAGCAACTACAACAGCAACAGCAACAGCAACAACAATCACAGCAACAGCAACAGCAACAGCAGCAGCAACAACAAGCATTCGCAATTATCGCGCAACAGCAACAACAGCAGCCGCAGCAAACGTTGCAATTGCAGCAGCAACAACATATAAGCAGCAACAGCAACAGTTGCAACAACTACAGCAACTATAGCACCTACAATAATAATAACAACAACAACAATAACAACAACAACAACAATAATAACAACAACAACAACAACAACAACAATTGTTACAGCTACAACAACAACAGCAATCATCAGCAGCTGCAACACAACAACAGCAGCAGCAACAACAACAACAACAACAACAACAACAATCTTGATGATGACATTTATTATTTGTTTTACAAAGATTTTTATGTAAGTTTTTTTGTGCACAAAACTACCAAAATTTATCGATTATTAACAGCAACAAATCACAAACAAATACATAATCATGGGCATACATTAATTGTCTTTTTTATGAGAATGTAAACCTCATTCTAGCTGCATTTGAGCCACCCTCATGGCACCTTTAAGCCACCTTTAAGACACCTTTGCTGCATTTCTTAAAACACCTTTAAACTAATTGTATTGCTTCGCTTTGGGTCGACTCAAGCTGCGAATAGATTGCGCTTGATTTCACCTGTTCACATACTTTTGCAGCTCACATTTCTACAAATTTGCGAAATAACATTTATTTACATTTAACAATATATTGAGTTTAGTTCAAGTTTGCTCAAATTCCAAAAACAATCTTGTCCTGAACCTTCCAATAAATAGGGTTCAGTTAAGGTTCTGCGCACGTTTGGTTCTTGGTCAAACTAATCCAGCTCTGGGTTTTTTAATTAAATTTGATAGATTTAATAGAAATTAAACCTATTTAAAGCACTTGCTAAAAATCGATTCAGCCTATAAATATGTTCCAAAGTTTCCTAAAGCATACTTTGGAGATTATTTCAAATTCTCACTATTATTATTTTTCTATAAGCATTAAAAAACTAGAGTATGCAGCAACAACGAGTAGACTTTGGCAAGAACAACGACAGCAACAACAACAGCAACAACAACAACAACAACAACAACAACAACAACAACAACAACGATTTCCCGATACACGTCAAGCAGCTGCTTCGGTTTTCGATGCGATTTTGTTGCTGAGGAAAAATTCACACACACAAACACAGCAACACACACACATACACACACACACACACATACACCAATACACGCCTCGGCCATACAGTAAATGCCGACTAATGAGACCAATGAACTTTAGCAATATCAGGCGATACTTTGTGAGAGATTAAAGTTTGGAATTTTTGTTGTTTTTATCTATTGTATAGATATTTTTAGAATAGTTGCATAGATAAGGGCACAAACAAATAATAACAGCTCGATATGCTCTTGATCATGCCATACATATATATATATATATATATATATATATATATATATATATATAAATTCAGTTTGATTCAATTCATAGTTTGGATTGCCCGGCCGTATAATCGCATAATACAAATTGCGACGCGTTATCATAGAAATTGTTGCTTATCACTGAATGTGTTTGTATATATATATATATATATATGTATATATATTTCTATATAATGCTTATATACACACTTTTTATGGCCCTTTGAGACGCATGTTTGCATTTAACAGTTGTTTATTTTTACCTACATTTCAAATCTCTATTGCATTGTTTAAATTTTTCATAAATTGAATTTCAGACGAAAATTTCTTTTTAAAATTGCGACAATTGACAAAACAAATAGAAATAAAAAGTATTAGTATTACAAATTATTTTGAAAATAGAAGTTTTCGCAAAATCAGAATCCAGTGTTGCATAATGCCAGAATGATTCAAGCTATAAAATGCTAGTTGTAATTTTAAAGTCTTTTATTTAATTTGTTATATTTTCTATATATATTTAAATCGTTTTCATATAATTATATATGTATATCTTATATATATATAGCTTTCATATTTCTTGGATACGTGTTTTTTTGTTGAGGACATTTGATTTTCCGTCAAAAGCAACGAAGTCTCTCAACAAGTCTGTATTGGCTCGTTTTCAATATGCTGTAGTTTTCGATGCTTAAACAGCTGCCTTTTTTTTTTATTTTTTGCTGTTTGCCATTGAAACATTTTCGAATTGTGCGTCATAGCGATGAGTTACTTTACACATGACAAATTTTAAGGGACCTATAACATTCACTGTAGATACACAGCTCTCTCTGTGTGCCTGTGTGTATGTGTGTGTGTGTGTGTGTATTTGAGGCGAGGCAGTTTTTTTTTTGTATATGCGTCAGCGGCTGGTTTCCAGTTCGATCCTGCCTGCCCTCTTCGCCCCTCCGCGCGCTACGTCGGGCCAATCAGGCGCAGCGGAAGGACCCCATGCAACGCATTGCAACCTCCTGTCAAAGCCAGGAATCCACGTTTTGCTTAGTCACGTTGCGTTTCGCAACTGCAACTAACTCGCTTATTACTGCAGATGACAGCAAAAACTGCAATTGACAGCTAAACCTGTCTACTTCTATCTGTATCTATATATATATATATATATATATATGTATATATATATGTGTCTATCATTTAAATAGTAGCTATGTCTGTATCTATATCTATCTATCTAGATGAATATCAATATGCAGCTTCGTCTGTAGATACTTTATTTACATCTATACGTCCTTTTTCATATCTATATAGTTGTCTGTATAAATAGTTTGTCTGTCTATCTTAACATCTATTGCTTTATTTGTGGCCAACTGAAAAATGCATTATTTCAGTGCCAATGTCAATATAATATATACATGTCGGGCCTTTTATAGCGACATCAACTCTCTGCGAATACATATATATATATACAAACTGCTCAAGAACATATATCTATGTATACATAAATATATATTTTTACTTATATAGATGTCTATATGCTTGCCAACATTATGCGTCATCTTGCAGTTACAAGTACTCGCAATATATATATATATATATATGTATAGATATGTATGCATATGCATATGCATATGTAGTAAATGCACATGTATGTGAACTATTTAGGTGGGAAAAACCACCACCTGCACCACCACCACCTGCTGACCTGCTTGGTTGGATGAGTCAGCCACAAGAAATTGCGACAATTGCACGATTTTTAGGGGGGGATACAAAACCCAAAATCGAATAACTTATTGAGTTAACCTGCCATATGGACGTTTCTTCGTAAACTTCACACAATGTTTCATTTCTTGATATAGATATAGATATATAGATATAGATATAGATATAGATATAGATATAGATATAGATATAGATATAGATATAGATATAGATATAGATATAGATATAGATATAGATATAGATATAGATATAGATATAGATATAGATATATATATAGATATAGATATAGATATAGATATAGATATAGATATATAGATATATAGATATATATATATATAGATATATATATATAGATATATAGATATATAGATATATAGATATATAGATATATAGATATATAGATATATAGATATATAGATATATAGATATATAGATATATAGATATATAGATATATAGATATATAGATATATAGATATATAGATATATAGATATATATATATAAATATAGATATATAGATATAGATAGATATTACATTTTTTCAAAGTTTTTAAAAGTCATGAGTGCAAATTAAGCTTTTTTACGAAAAATCATCGATTTGCGTATTTCTCTTTTGATGTGGATGTGCCTGCAAGTTGTGTTCTACTTGTTTAACACCTGCTAAATAATTGGCATAAACAAATTGGGTTGTTCGGATGGTAGATTGTTTGTTTGCCTGGAGTATGATGGAGAGGAGGGGAGAGGGGGCGCTAGGGGTGGAGGCAGCTCCGAAAAGTGTTTTGACGATTCTCTCGCTTGATTAGCTCAATGTCATTTCAATCAATGAAAGCGGCACACACACACACACACACACACACACACACACACACACACACACACACACACACACACACTTGATAAACAAAACTAAACCGAACTGCGCCACACAAGATGGAACCTTCGAGCCATATTAGCAGCCCCCGCGCCCAATTCCTTTCCCTTGCTCCATTTTTGCTATGCGCAGGCATTTATTTCTTGTATGTTGCTTTGGCTTTGTTGCGGGGTGCGGGGTGTGTGTTGGGGGGTGCGGGGTGCGGGGTGTGTGTGTGTCAGCTTTGGATGCGCAGTTTAAGACCCGAAACTAACCCCTGTTGGCAGT